ACGGAACCAGTAAGCTATTTTAATAATTCCAAGACCCCTATTTCACAGCACACCTTTAACCAACAACGCTCAGAAAATAACTTTCACGCTAAGATCGATTCAGGGAGTTCTACTCACCTGAATTCAATTCCGTAAAATCATACAGATTCCTTAACAACTTATCTAACTACTCATGTAATCAAAATCATAATTAAATTACCCAATTGTTACCAGATTTCTCTACACCTTAACGACTCTGATTTCGTCCAAATCTGGACTAGATTGGGAAATTCCAAATTACTACTCAAAAGTTTTCTTGCCCCAATTCTTTCCCCATTAGCTTTTCTATAATGACGGAAATAGTTCGTTACAATATTCAAGATATGAATGTGTCGTCTCCAAGAAATTAAATGATGTTTGCAGCGGGGGAGTAAATTACGCGCTGCACTCTTTTTCCTTCTAGGTTTTATCTCAATGGGTTTTCCTTGCAAGGTTTTTAACGAGGCAACAAACAATGTGTATTACAAAATATGTGTATTGTTTTGTCCTTCACTGGATTTATTCCACTGGGTTTTTTCCTAGTAAGGTTATAACGAGGCATATTATCTATCAATGATCTTCCAAGGGGGAGTGTTGTAAATATTTTGGTGGTTAAAATGATGACCATAACTCCTAGGTTAATTCTCTCCTTTATGAGTAGTAGTGTTGTTGATAATATGGTCAAATGGATGACCATACTCCTAAGTTAATTCTCTCATTTATGGGTAGTAATGTTGTAGATAATATGTTCAAATGGATGACTATGTCTTTCTCTTCCTTTATGGGTAGTTATTTTCAAGGTTTAATGTCATGTTAATGACACCCTTTGATATTCCTCAATGTAATCTTATAAATAGTAGTATTGAGAATGATGTTGAATACACTTGAAAGAAAGAAAATTATCTTATATTGTTCCTCCTTATTATATTCTTCTTGGTTACATCTTTATATTGCTCTATTGTTCTTATATTTTACAACATAATCTAAAATTCCTTTGATTTACCCTTTGTGTTATCAGTTTTTATTGACAACTGAAAAAATGAAATAGAAATATGACTTCAAATTGATACTTTTAGTATGAGAACCCTATAAACTATTTATGCATTATATTCTATATCCATGCACTTAAAAATAATCTTATCTTATCTTATATCATATACATAATTACTTTTATGTTTTTTTTTTATATATACTTTTAGATTTTTACCCTTATTTTATTTTTACCTTTAAACCCGTTTCTTCAACTCTTGTGTCCCTTCAGACTGTTGTATCCCTTTGTTGTGCCTCTTCAAGAATTACCTATAAAAACTAGGTAAATCATGCTCATTTTTGTATCTTCTTCTTCGTGACAAATTACATCCCTAATTTATGTGGAACTTTGTCAATACCTTGAAGTATACTTTGGATCTTCACCAAAAAAATAATGAAACAAAACTATAATTATCTTGTAGTTTTTTCCTCCATTAAATTGTCAAAATAAAAACTATTTCAAGTGCTCAATTCTTAAACAACTTATCACAATCATGACAATTTTTTTATTCGTACCTACTTTTTTGGGTTTTTCCCTCCTGTTATCACTCTGTTCGACAACTTACGTTAGTATTTTATCAATAATCTATAAAAAATTATATTTTATGAATTTGTATTGAATTATTTTTGTACTTTTGGTTATGAAAACTTTTTAAGCATTCTTGATGGAACCGGGGTTGAGGAAGAGACAACAAAGAGAGAATAAATTCCGCCGCAAATTGATAAGGTACTTGTACGTATTAATATATTTTATTGGGAGTTGAAATGTTATTGTATTAATCATATCTCCGAAATTTTATAAAGTTTGGCCGATATGGAAAAGTCACAACCCTTTGGAAAAGTTACAACTCTTTGAAAAAATCACAACTCATTGGAAAAGTCACAATCCTTCAATGTGAAAAGGTGTTTATTTTTAATATATTTATAATATAAGAAAATATAGTATGAAATATTTTGTAGGATTTGGAGTAAGACTTTTTGTATTAGTACTTATCCAACCTCTTTGAGATAATCAAATAAATCAAACCAATGGTCCATAAAGGCACTTAAAAAATATAGTATGAAATATACAATATGTACTAAATTGGGTGTTTAGAAGAAGAATAGAAAACTTAGAAAATTTGTGGTTTAAAAATGTATCATAACCCCTCTATTTATTGCCAACAAAGGGGTAGTATGAGCAAGTGTGTATTGTGCCTTATCAGAAAAGTCACAACCATTCGAAAAAGTCACAACTCTTTGAAAAAGTCAGACTCCTTCGGAAAAGTCACAACTCTTTGGAAAAGTAACAACCCTTCAGAAAAGTAACAACCCTTTGGAAATGTTACAACTCTTTTTGAAAAGTCACAACCCTTTGGAAAAGTCACAATCCTTCAATGTTAAAAGGTGTCTTTTTTTAATATATTTTATATTATAATATAAATAAATATAGAATATGTACAAAATTAGGTGTTTTAAGAAGAAAAATAGAAAACTTGGAAAATTTGTAGTTTAAAAATGTGAGGGAACTCCCCTATTTATAGTCATCAAAGGTAGTATGAACATGTGCTTATTGTGCCTTATTAGAAAAAACACAACTCTTCAGAAAAGTCGCAACCCTTTAGAAAGGTCACAACTCATCCAAAAAATCACAACCCTTTGGAATAATTGCAGCCCTTATGAAAAGGCACAAACCTTTGAGAAGATCACAACTCACCGGAGAAGTCACAACTTTTTGAAGAAGTCACAACCTTTGAATAAGCCACAACTCTTTGAAAAGTCTCAATCCTTCAATGTGAAAAAGGTGTATGTTTTTTTTTGTTTTATAATATAAATATTTAAATAAATATAATATAATATAAAAATAAAAATATATTTAATTGGATGTTTTAGGGTTGGGGTATTATAATAATTTAACATTGAATTTAGGGAGTTCATGCTTTTATAGATGAATGGATGGATGGATGGATAGACTGACGGACGGATGGATGGATGGACTGACGGATGGACGGATGGATAGACTGACGGATGGATGGATGGATAGACTGACGGATGGAGGGATGGATGGATAGACTGACGGATGGATGGATGGATGAATAGATGGATGGATGGATGGATGGATGGATGGATGGACGGATGGACGGATGGATGGACGGACGGACAGACGGACAGATGGACAAATGGACAGATGCACTAATGGACAGACAAACAGACGGACATCGACAGAGAGATAGACAGATAGAAAGACATATATTCACATATTGCTTCTTAACCTTTCACATTCTTTATTCAAAAAAGTTTAAATGTTTCAATTACTACTTTTTTGTTCTTTATTAATGCTTGATATAGGAAAAAGTTGGGGAGTCTTAATAATTAAAATTATTGCTATTTGTAACCTTTCTTGATTTTCCTAATTACTTGTAATTTTTTTATTTCCTAATTTTTTTTCCAGTTGGTGCCCTCCAGAATATCAAACATTTGACTCGGTTTGTTCATACACATTTTCAAGAATAATGTATTTCAAAATATTTTTAATTTTTTTAAATATGATTAAAGAAGTTCTTAAAAACTTAGTGAGATCTTTTTTATGATTTACTAGCTTTAGAATAATCAAGGAACACACATTTGAGAATACGAGGGGTTGATATCATTCACATGATAAATTTATTCTGGTATATTTAGGGGTATTTATGGACAATGACATGGAAGAACAATGAAAACTAGTTGCTACTGGCAAAAGAATGAATTATAGGCCATCAAATTGAGTAACAATAGAGAAAGTGATAATTGACTAATCTATGAAAAAACATTCAATATTGAGAAGAAAATTATACCAAAGAACAATTATTATAATTGAAAATATGTAGAAGATAAAATTCATGAAAGAGTAAGAATTTTACAATCTTTCAAGTTATTAATATATGTGACAATACCAAATTTTTAATATTCAGATATTAGTAAATAATCATTAATAATCTTAATGAGTTCATGGATTACCAAGCGAAGCGCAGGTAAGTTATCTAGTCTTATATATAAGAGCTTTTGAAAAAAAGAAAAAAAACATGTTTTTACAACACCGCTCATTTAATTTAAACTCACCTTCTATATTTAGAATTCAAAAATAACTTCTTCAAACTAGCAAATAGTGGCGATGTTAATGTTTAAAGCCCTTGATCAGCTACATATGCAAAGTTTCTTAAAAAAGATAATTGCACCTAATTAAATGACGTTGTTGTGTAAATAGGCCGACTCATTTGTTGAAAAAAAGTAGTGAATATAACAAATTAATCTTCTTATTCATGATTTGTACATGAAGTACAAAGTACAAGAAAACAATAAGCAATTATAACTAATAGGAAATGAATGGATAAAGGAATAAAACATAAAAGCTCATATATATTAAAGCACCAAACACTGATAACCAGAGGAGAAGTTGAAGCAAACTGGTCCATGTCATGAAGTATCAATCTTCCAATTGTAAAATAGAAGATCTTATTCAATAAATTAATTGATTTCTTCCATTGGAGTTTGAATCTTTCCCTCAAGAAACCATTCTCTATTTTGTGCATCAAATTGAAATCTGAATAGAAACAACCAAATAGAACATTAGAGATTTATTTGGAAGAAAGAAAAGTCTTATATGAAAAAAAATCACAATTCAAACAGCTACTCACTTGATTGATTCGGGAGAATGGTTGAGCTCCTAGCTAGAAATACTTAGTAGTGAGTTGGAGGTGGTGGAGAAGCGTAACCATATGCTAGTGGAGGAGGTGATTTCACGGGTGGAGGAGGTGAGCTGTAGTAATAGGGTGGAGGAAGAGACTTTACTGGTGGAGGTGGAGAGTGGTAGTAATAAGGTGGTGGAGGAGGTGACTTGTAGTAGTAGGGTGGGGGAGGTGATGGGGATGGTGGAGGAGGAGACTTGTAGTAGTAGGGTGGTGGAGGAGATGGGAAGGTGGTGGTGGTGACTTGTACTAATAGGGTGGGGGAGGTGACGGGGACGGTGGTGGAGGAGACTTGTAATAGTAGGGTGGTGGAGGAGATGGGAAAGGTGGTGGCGGTGAGTTGTAGTAGTATGGTGGAGGGGGGGAAGGAAATGTAGGAGGAGGAGACTTGTAGTAGTAAGACGGTGGAGGAGATGGCGATGCTGGTGGTGGTGGCTTGTAATAGTATGGTTGAGGTGGAAGTGGCGATGGTGGAGGAGGGGACTTGTAGTAATAGGTTGGTGGAGGTGATGGTGATGGTGGTGATGGAGACTTGTAATAGTATGGTGGAGGGGGAGATGGTGATGGAGGAGGAGGAGACTTGTAGTAGTAAGGTGGTAGAGGTGATGACGATGGTGGTGGTGTGGACTTGTAATAGTATAGTGGAGGAGGAGATGACGATGGTGGAGGAGGGGACTTGTAGTAATAGGTTGGTGGAGATGATGGTAATGGTGGTGGTGGAGACTTGTAATAGTATGGTGGAGGGGGAGATGGTGATGGAGGAGGAGGAGACTTGTAGTAGTAAGGTGGTGGAGGTGATGACGGTGGTGGTGGTGGGGACTTGTAATAGTATAGTGGAGGAGGAGATGACGATGGTGGTGGAGGAGACTTGTAGTAGTAAGGAGGTGGGGGAGAAGGCGATGGTGGTGGTGGGGACTTGTAGTAGTAAGGTGGGGGTGATTTATAATAGTATACTGGTGCAGGTTTTGGTGATGGTGGAGATGGAGACTTATAGTAATAAGGAGGTGGTGGAGACTTAGTTGGTGGAGGCGGAGATTTGTAAAAATATACTGGTGTAGGTTTTGGTGATGGTGGTGGTGGAAACTTGTAATAATAATGAGGTGGTAGAGATTTAGTTGGTGGTGGCGGAGATTTGTAATAGTAAGCAGGTGGTGGTGGAGAATTATAAACGTATGTGGGGGTTGGGGGAGGTGGTGATTTATACACATACTTTGGTGATGGAGGAGGTGATGACTTATAAACATAAGTCGGTGATGGAGGTGGAGGAGATTTATAGTAGTATGGAGCAGGTGTAGGCTTGGGATTTTTGCATTCTGCATAAGGTGCCTTAGATCCATAAGCAAATGGCTTTGCATAGAGTACAACTTCATATTTATTCTTTGACTTCACTTTGAGGTTAGCACCCTTTATTCCCCAGTGAAGGTTTGTAGGAATTCTACACTTTGAATCCTTTGGAGCATTGTGGAGTTTAGCTTTGCAAGCCTTTGCTCCATATTTTCGATATTCAAATCCTTCAACTGTGATGCTAAATTTTCCATTGATCTTAGTGGTACCATAACTCACAATTTTCTTGTCACCAGCCTTGCAAGTTACCTCAACAACAGCACCTAAATCCACGTGAAAACAGAAATAATACATTAATTAACACTAAAACAATTAATAGATCTTCTAACATATGATCATTTAGATATGTCCCCACTTCCTCCAGAACTATGCCCTGTATTCAGCATATAAAATTGTCATAACTTTTTTTCCTCATAATAAATACTCTTTCAAGCAAACTACTTTCATGCAATTGTCAAAATAATGCTTATAGTTGTTGCCTTATAAATTTTCTTGATGTTTTAAAATCTTAATTTTAGCTAAAGATATTGATGACAACAAAAGAGGATTGAAGATTCAAATAAAAAGAGACACATTTATAAATTACGATAAAAGCATATAGTACAAAGCAACAAAAAGGAGAATATATAGTTGGATAATTTATCTTGTGAAAAATTAAGAGAAAATAAAGAAAACAGGCATGATATAAACACTATGGTACCTTTCAGGTGCTTCTTGCCATGAGACATTTTTGGGTGCTTCCAATCATAGCATCTAAAACAATAGACTTTTCCGACAACTTTGACCACGAATTGATGATGTGGAGGATAGTAATGAATTGGAGGTGGAGGAGACTTGTAGTAGTATGGAGTTGGCGGTGACTTGACTGGTGGTGGTGGAGAAGTGTAGTGATATGGTGGAGGAGGTGATTTCTTGGGTGGTGGTGGCGAGGAGTAGTAATATGGTGGAGGGGGAGACTTCACTGGTGGTGGTGGAGAATTGTAATAGTATGGGGGAGGAGGTGATTTAGTAGGTGGTGGTGGAGATTTGTAATAGTATGGTGGGGGTGATGATGGGGATGGTGGAGGAGGAGAAGGTGAAGGAGAAGGTGGCAGTGGAGACTTATAATAATATGGCGGAGGTGGTGATGGTGAAGGCGGTGGTGGAGATTTATAATAGTATGGTGGTGAAGGTGATGGTGAAGGTGGAGGTGGAGACTTGTAGTAATACAGAGGTGGTGGTGAAGGTGATGGTGGAGGAGGAGACTTGTAGTAATATGGTGGAGGTGGAGATGGCGATGGAGGTGGTGGAGACTTATACACATAGGGTGGAGGTGGAGACGGTGAGGGAGGCGGTGGAGACTTATATACATATGGTGGAGGTGGTGATGGTGATGTAGGGGGTGGAGACTTATACACATATGGTGGAGGTGGTGATGGAGAAGGGGGAGGAGGTGATTTATAAACATATGGAGGCGGGGGAGAAGGTGAGGGATGAGGTGGAGATTTGTACACGTAAGGTGGTGGCGGAGAAGGAGAAGGAGGTGGTGGAGAAGAGTATACATAAGGGTCTGCCGACACTACATTAGCAACAACCAATATGGCCAACACCGTTAAGATTTGTGGCAAATACTGACGACCCTTGGCAAGGCCGCCACCTTGAAGCCTCATTTCGCCGGAAAATTACACCACCTAGCCTCCCAAATGTGGCTAGTTAGAGTAAGAAGAAAGGAGATAACCTTAAGTTTTTTAGTTGAGAAGTGTTGCCTTTTGGGGATTCATTGGCCTATGTATTTATAGAAAAACACCTTGAGAGGTAGCTCTGTCTAAAGGACCAATTCAAATGTAAAAGAATATGTAACATATTCTAGAGGACCAGTTCTATTATTACTTATAAAAACTCCACTTCTTTATCACTTTTGAATATTTCCATAGAATTATTTTCACATCATTTACCTGCTATAAAGAAAATCATGAGAACAACATATGAATGTGCAAAGAGACCGATCACTTCACATTCCACAAAATGTTGCAAAGGGAAAATGATAGCTAATTTTCAATATTTCCACTGTCTTACCATTTTGGTTTCCATGTGTTGCCTCATGGACATTCAGAGTTTGAGACTTACAAGTATCGATAATAATAATTGAATAATCATACACATAACTAAAAAAAAGAAAATTTTATTCTTGTTTCTTTAGGTCATTAGTGGTAAAAAAAATAATTAAACTTAAAACTTAAATCAAAAGTTGTGGTAGCATGGTAAGTATTTCTCTAATCAAAGGTCTCGAGTTCGACTTCTAAATATAAAGTCATCTTTGATACTTGATAGAAAGCGTTTTTTAATTACTCCCCATAATTAAATTTTCCAATGTAAATTCAGATAAAGTGGACCACAAAGCAAACACCAGACACCAAATGAAAGAGAACTTTCCTATGATGGATGCATGGCTTCAAGTATGTTGATTTTACTTGTTGCCAACTAGAAATGTTGATTTCTTTGACATTGAAATGTTTCAACTACTCCATTATATTTTGTGATATACTTAAAAATAAGTTATACTATTTAATTTATTTTGAAATAATTTTATTAATTAATTTCAGAAGCATTTGTTCATGAACTAAGTTATTAAAAATCAATTTCTATCGTTTTCAATCAATACCAATTATTAATACTTAATAAGTTTATTAAAGAGATATTTTCAAAAAAAAAAGTACAAATCCGTACTTTAGATATTTTCCATATTTTCTTTATTAGCATACATTTGTAAAATTAAAGTATTTCTGTCATTTTGTATGAGGATTTAAGTTAGGATTAAATTATATGTAATAACTAAGTAAGAAATATCTAACTCTTTGATTTGTTCTATCTTCCACAAATCGCCTCTTGATTTGTCTTATACTTAGCTCAATTTTTACTTCATACAATTAGATGCACGTAAATTGATCGGAACATCATGATTATTAAGAAAAATGCTTTGTGCAATTGTACTGTAACAAAGAAAATCGACTGTCTATATATTTCAAACAAAACATAAATTCATTTATTTATTTAGTTGACTTTGCTCCAATACATACAAACAAGATATATTTATTTAGTCTTTCTAAGCCGTGATTTGATAGGGCTGTACTGTGATTTTTGGAGCCCATTTAAGAAAAGGGCATTTTAACCCTGCCTGAATAAGTGTGTCGATTTGTGGGGCTTGAGAAATATGGATAGTGCCGGCTCGTGTGCCAAATAAAAATTAATTAAAAAATAAAAATAAAATAGAGTACTAAAAATAACATGAGTCAACACTCAAAATTTGTTTAAAGTTTGAAATATTACAATTTAAATACAAATTATATTTATAAAATATGTACTACATAAAATAAAGTTCCTAAAATTTCTAGGGAATCACTACATAGGTCATAACCTATGGAATATTATCATAGTTTTTTTGTGTTTTATTATGATGATTGGAAAACAATTAGGTTAATATTTCTATTTAGCTATTTATGTTTTTACTTGAAATCAAACTTAATAAATATTATATTGATACTTTTATTTGTGTATTTGATTAACAAGTAGTAACACTAGTCGATATTTATGATAATATTTTTAAATTATAATTTAATTTTAAAAAATTATAAAAAATATACTTTTAAAAAAAGAGAGTTGGCCCGACAAAGCCCGTAGCCCACGCACTTGTGGGCTGGGCCGACCATTTTCTGGCCCACATAAAAAATGGGCTAGCCCAGCCTGACCCTTCAAATTGCAAAGCCTGTATGAGTTAGCCCGGATGAGGTGGGTCAGCCCATATTGACAGTTCTACTTACAAATGAACTTAGGTAGATAGTCAAACGAAGTCCATTTTCACGAAATAATTTGATCTATTAACAACATCAGTGTGATAATAACCCTATTGATAGAGAGATTATCACCGCAAGGCATTATTAAGTAATAGGCCATAAGTGTCTATAAGTTATGTGGTAAATTGAGATTCAATAATTAAATTCTCAATCATGACTTCATCTTTTCTTGTATAATGATATTATGGCCTTTATGACCTATTCATTGTAATAGTTATAACCATTTTGATAGCCAGTGAATTTCATCCAAGGCTAAATACGAACGAGAGACCAATAACAAACAAGTATCAAGATGAAAAGAAACTGAAAAAAAAAAAAAAGTTAAAAAAGTGTTTGAAATTAAATTGTCAGGAGGGATGAGGATGGGGTCAACGATGCGCCTAATCCAATGTGGTACCATGTTGATAGTACAAAATGTCATCTAAAACTGTAAAAATGTTACATCTACCTATAACATCCCTTGGCTCACGCATCGACGAAGAAAATAATGATATGCGATTCCAGAAATTTAGGCCAACGATACCAATGTTCAATCTCCTTTATACTCTTATCAACACCAACTATTCCAACAAATTACAGAACTTCGCGAACAATCAAGTCATTGAATGCAAATAGCACCAAAAGTCGTTAGTCCAAGGATACATACATCTACTTAAGCACACATCACACATTTTCGTCGCAAAAAAAGAAAAAAGTAAAAATGATTCAATATTATTTTTACCTTTTTCATAAAGAATAGTTTTACTACGAATGAAATTCAATTGAACCATTCACCAAAGGATTTTAAATTAATCTGAACAAACAATTATTCTCTGATTTATGAAAGTGACTTATATATATACCCTTGCCGTTATACAAACGGCTCACATATAGCTTAAAATAAGTCATAAGTTAGAGGTTTGCTGCATCAAGTGCTTGTAGAACTGGGCTATCCTCAAAATGTATATCCTAGATTATGGAATTAATGTGTGCAGACAGTAAATAGATTATATATAGTTAATAGAATTGTCAAATTAGGTATGAAGATGCATGGTCCTTCTGTTGCTGCAAGTAGATGATGAGGTGCTACACCGAAAATTGTGAAGAAATCCATAAAAGCTTACGTTGATTTCTCAATTGTTATTTGCTTTCTCCTTTTCTAAAACATAAACTCTATGTCGTAGAATTGAATGTTGTAAACTTTATAAAAAGGAAAATAGAGAAATCCATGTTTGATTAATTCATGAAGATATCAATAATAGAAAGTCATCGAGAAAATGCATGTTACATTCATATGACAATTTCAAATGTTCTAATTTATGACAAATTTTTTTTTAAATAACTCTGTAGTTTAAATAATGATCAAGGAAAAAAATATTTCATTATTTTAATAAGGTCATTCAAGACCGTGCGAAACACCGGAAAATTACCTAGTAATTGATATTTTTGATATATAACTAATATATTAATATTTCAAATATATCATATTACCAATATTATTATGTCTTGCAATTTTAGCATAGGATTATTTACACGATTTTAGTATATTTATACTAATTAACTTAGGATACACGTGCAACGCACGTGTCCAGAAATTAGTATCGTGACAAGTGGGAAGCTTCAAAGTTTAAAGTTGAATTACCATTTTACTGTTTAAATTTATTTTTTTAAAGCTGGAAATAAAGGCTTATTTTTGTTTAGGATAAGGCATAAGTTCCCTCTTGAACTATGACCAAAATCTCAAAGACACATCTTAACTAAACAAATGTCCTATTACCCCCGCCCCCCCCCCCCCCCCGAACTTTTTTTTTTTGTAATTTTATACACCTTTTCACTTACATGACACTCTATGACTCCGCATAGTTGAGACACGTGAGAGATGTTTGGATGCCACGTAAGCCAAAAGGTGTACAAAATTACAAAAAAAATGGGTTCGAGGGTGTAATAAGACCTTAGTTTAGTTGAGGTGTGTCTTTAGGATTTTGGTCATAGTCTAGGGGGATACCTACGTCTTATCCCATTTTGTTTTTCATTTTGTTAATGCAATGAGTAGAAATGTGTAACACCCCGTACCCATAAACTAGTCTGGAAGTTGAAAAGTTGCAGAAAAGGTTGTTCATGCCAGTTTCCACGAGACCACCTACGATCCGTAGAAGGACCTATAGTACGTGGATGGCGGTCGTAGAAGATTAAGTTGGAAAAGTTTAAATGTCAAGTCCCAGATGACTTTATACGAACCAACAGGACGGGCCGTAAAAAGTCCTACAATACGTAGAATAGGGCTCGTGGATGAGATCCAAACTTATTAGTGAAATTTTGGGATAACTTAAGTTCTTCGGATGGTTTGTACGGGCCGTAGAAGGACCCACGGATTGTAGTCATCAGCTCGTAGTCAGCCTTCAGAAAGTTAAGCTCCAGTTTGGTTTCTATGGTTTGAAAGTACGGCCCGTAGAAGGACCTATAGACCGTAGTTGTCCATTCGTGGAAAGTGTTTGGACTTAGAGGAATTTTGACCTTGGGTTCCATAGAAGGGACCTACGGATTGTAGGAAGGTTTTACGGACCATAGACTTAGGCCCGTGGAAACTGATCTTGGGTCTACGGTACTTGCTCTATGGACCAACAAGACAGTTCATAGAAAGTCAGACGGACCATAGGTCGGTCCATAGAGCCCACTCAAAAGTTTTTAAGAAGGGTAATTTCGATCTTTTCTCTCCCCTTTTGAGTCTAAGCCCCAATTTTTTTACACCGAATTAAGGTTCTAAATAGTATCATTCGAGTGAGGCAATTTCAAAGTGTATTTTTGCGATTTTTTGATTGGGTAGCGAATATCAACTCCCC